GGAAATATTTTCAAAAATGCTATTACTGCAGACTGTAGATGTTAGTGACTGACTTGTTTAAAAGTTTTTCTTTACTAATACAAGCTACATGTACTGTAATCATTACTTAATAAATGAATTGAAACTCAATTTGTAAATAACCCTCTTGTTATCAGATACATCAAAGCACTGGAAGCTATTCGTAAATTTAGACAAGAACAGGTTGGTGCAATGGGGTTTCTGTTTGATCTTCTTTTGAAAATATAGTTGACGAAACAGTTTTTCTCAAGTGAAAGTTTCACTTATTGGTTGCACCTTTCATAAAAAAAAAGAATTGTAAAGAAAACAGGTAAAAGAGTGAACTAAGATGTACTTTGCTGATCATGGGCTTCAAATTGATATCAACAAGAGAGTGCACAGTGAAAGCATTGTATTATTAATTTTTGAATTCCCAGCATGGCAAGAATGTTTAAGTCCAGGGAAAGTAATATCATTTACAATATTCTTGTAATTATGGTTACTTGTAAATGTGATCCTATTAGAGTTAGCAAGAAGAAGGCCAGTGCTTCTGTGCATGTACCATAATGTAATCCATACAAGTTATGTTAAGTTAGTTGTATGAGGCTGACAACAGAAACTTGTATGGCATTTTCACGTTTCACAAATTCAAGTTGCTCACAACCAGTTGAGAGCATTGCTATTGGCATTATTTTGTTTTTGATTCTGCAGGCCCAAACTGTGAAAGAGTATTCCATAGACTTGACCCACTTAAAGGCAAAGAAGGAAAAAGCAGAAGAGGTAAAACAGTACTATGAAATTCAGTTGCTCAGTGATAACATACTGTTGTTAAATACAAGGCGGCTATAAGTAAAGATAAGAAACCTTGTGAGTTGTATTAGACATGTATACTGTGAACACTTTAAAGTGACCCTTTAAAGCAAGATGTCAGTAATAATTGTTTTAATTGCACTTGGCAGATAGCCAATGAAATGAGAGAAACACAAGGAAAGGTTGAAGCATCCAAAGACACAGTCAAGGAGCTGAATAAACAACTTGAACCAGTAGAGGTAATACATGGCCTTGTACTATGAACCTACAGTGAAACCTGTATTAAGTGAACACCCTTTGGACCCTCACTAGTGTCCGCTTAATACAGGGTGTCTGCTCAAACCAGGTTCTAGTTTGTTGTGCAATAATAGTTAATTATTAACCCTTTTGTAACACAGTCTAACACAGTGTAAGATCAAAGACTAGCTAAGACTGCTCATAGTACAAAGTCCAGTCGATCAATGCATCAGTCTGGAATTATAACCACTTAGCTTTAAAAGGATATCGCTGAACAATGTTAAGGAGTCTCAGCTGAACCTTTAGAAGTAAAATGAGCCTTAAAGTGTCGGCTTATTGCAGGTTTTGTACAACAAAGTGGCTTAATGTTGATGCCCTTGTCCGTTTAATAGAGGTGTCTGCTGAATGCAGGCTTATTAATTTTCATAGTAAATGTGGGAAGAAAATTTTGGGACTTGAGCTGGTTTCCACTTAATAGAGGGTGTCCGCTTAATACAGGTTTCACTGTATATGTTTGCTTCTTATGGAGATATCCTTACTGCTACTGGGTCTTTTCTCAAATTGTATGCCATGCTTCTTGTCAAAGGACACATTCAGACGTAATGTGATCGTGTTTTGTTACAGCTGAGGTTAGCTGAGCTTGCAAGCATTGCAGATGATGTGTTTCAGCTAGAGAAAAAAGTTGGTAGGTGTTGAGCTAACTCTGAGTCTGGCCTTATTTTGTAGCTATTAAAATACAATCATTAGTAAACATGTGCATATAGTATTACTGACAGTACTGTGCCCTCCCATGTACACTGTACATTGTATAGGCACTCTATAAAAACAGAATTTCCATATTATAGAAAAAGCACTATTGCACCAGAAGTTGAACTATTGTCATCAGATGATTAATTCAGAGTGTATGTGAAAGTGTAAATTGTTGGGCACCGTTACTCTCACAGTCCCTATTTGGTACCTTTGTATGTACTTGAAGGTGTTCCACTCTTATTTAAAACATTTTTTAGGAGTTGATTTGTATTAATTTTGTATCTATTTTGTATCTTTTCATTACAGAGTCCTTGTCAACAGAAAAGAGGCAACTCTTAAAGGTGGAGGCAGATCTCAAAGAAAAAATCACAAATCTCTTTGATGGTAATACCACATTCGCCATAACTTACTGTAAATTTTGCTATCAGTACCATTTTATAAGTGTCTCAATTCAGTTTCCAATAGGTTAACTTTTGAACTACTGTAGCCTGGAAAAAATGTTCTCATAACATCTGAAACATTCTTTCTATTTTGTCATTAAATGCTGTCATTTATGTTTAGGTTCTGTGGAGGAACTTCACCAGATCTTTGAAGCGTTTCGATCAAAAGTAATGGAAAAGGAAAAAACCTTGAGAGAGGTAAGTCGGATTGTATTTTATGGACTTTAGCATTGTGAAGATTCAGTTGATCGCCCTCAGAATATTCATAAGGATTCTGAACCTGAGCGTTTGAGTCTGTGTTCAAAATACCGCTTTCTGACTTGCCTCTGAATTGTTAATTACAAGTTAGAGAATTGTAACACCGAACTCAGTAATTTTTTTAAAAAAATCTAGTTAACGTTGTAAGTTGGGAGCCTGATTTGACACTTTCACATAGTGACTCGGATTTGAATCAAACTTCAGGCTAAACAGGAGTTTTGAAAGATCAAATAAAGAGTTTGCTTTTTCACAACCCATCATAATTGTTAATACATTCCAGAATGATCGCAAACTACAGACGCTGAACGAAGACCAGCAGATACTGACTGCTGACCAGAATCAGCTACTGTTGGATCATGGGAAACTTGAACAGAAGGCTCAGGTAACATTAAATGAAAACAAACTGCTAAATAAATGATTTATAAATAAATGTATTATAAATTACTGAAGGGCAGTTGTGGTACAAGGTAATAAACAGTGACACATTGCAGAAGGGATTACTCAGTAGATGATAAGATAGTCAGATGATATAGAGAGAAATAAATGGAACATATCAAAATGATTAACGGTCTTCATAATAATTGATGCACAGATCCTAGGCATGGATAAATTATGATAAGGACAACAAATACTAGCTGGTGTGAACAAGTGACCATTGATGTTGGTTTGACCGAATTCCCAACTCTTTTAAAGTGTGTTTCTTTAGTTCGTGTTGGAGACAACTTGTGTCGTCCTTGTTTTTTATCTTCACGCATTTTCCTTTTCATTTTCCTCTTTCATAGCTGTTAGTTGGATTGGAAAACAATCTTTAACTGTGCTACAACCAAAATACTAATAATACACTGTAAAATAGCCACTGTGAAAGCGGCACTTACAGCACCACGCATTAAGCTATAATAATTCCTTCTTCTTCTTTTGACAGAGACACAAACAGAATCTAAGTGAGAGAGACCAGTATATTACAGATCTTGCTGAGAAGTATGACTTCAGAGGTACTTGTACAGATTATTCAATTCACATGTACACTTCAGAACCTTGGGACAATGTGGCTTCTTTTTGAAGGGCTAATTTGTGTACGTTTATGGATTAAAAACACTCAACGATGAGTTATAAATTATACACAATGATTAATTAGTGTTTATGCAAGTCTTATGCAGAAAATCCAAAGTCTCAAAGGGTACTTTTGGGAAAAAAATATATCAATATAATGATAGAAGAATTTTTTTTTGATAGGTTATGAGAAAGGCCCCTTTTCTGAGGAAAAAGTAGATCGTTTTCTTGGAGAAATGAAGAAAAAATATCAAACCGTTATTGATGACACAAAACGTCAAAGGGTAAGCAAATAGTTCAAATTCATAAGGAAGGTTACCAACGTTCTCTATACATTTGGTGTTTGTATTGTATTTGAAGGAAGTGCTTTTCCAGTGATTCTATGATTTAACAGTTTATTACAATGATCGTGAATATACAGTACAGTGGATAAAAACTGTTAAATATCCTTTCAAAGAAAAATGCTCTTTTAATATGTATACTGCGACCGTTGCACAATACTCTGAAACAGCTCAACATTTTTTAAAGATATTAAGTTTAAAAATGCTATACACCTGTATGAGATTTGAATTGGCCTAAAATAATGTCTTTACTCTTTTTTTCTTTTACTTTTTTCATGTAATATTGCATTTTTTATTGGATGAATTCCACAGCAAGTATTTGACGAGAGCCTGAGCAAGGTACAGAAGAAACTTGACGATATGAAGAAAAGTCAAGNTAATATTTTTCTTTATTATATGGCTGTGTCTCACAAGGACTTGGAACTACCGAATTCAAGAATTTGACTGGCTAAAATCGATATTGAAAGCGGTCTAGATTTTCCCATCTAGACCGGCATCTAGACCGGTAATGTTTTGCGGTGAAAAAGTTGTAAACTTTAATGCAAAAATGTTGACTATTTTGCTCTAACAATATTTATTTATGGCAATGCCAAAGAGTCTGATAAGAAAAGAAAAGAAAGTAAAGAGGACGAGCAGACTTCGGCAGAGTTAAGTTCAGCTCATCGCCGTTCGCAAGCAAAATGTCGGCTAGTACGAACCAGTTATGGCTGAACGAATTCAGTTTCTCTTGCTTGCCATATAATAAACATCTTATTAACCGAGCTTAGTCGGTCTGTATGGGAGAATCTTGACCTCTGTCGTGTGTACAGACCTCACTGCGTTCGGTCTGTACTCACGAGCTCGGTCAAGATTCTCCCATACAGACCTCCTGCTCGGTTAATAAGAGCTAAATTTAACAATTATTCCACGAGCGCGCATTGGATATGAAATGACAAAGATATGCTCCTCATTGGCTGTAATCATATTATGTCCAACAAGTGCAACAAGTGCGATTGGAAAAATAATTGTTTTATAAAAACGCTCCCAAAACTATAGAAAACTAAACTAAAACAAGACATAGACATGGAATGTATAAAATAATAAACACATAAAAAGTTAAAACACCCCCCCACCCCCCAATGAATAGTCTTGAATTGTATTATTCAATTACCCAGTTTTAATAATACGCGATAGCTGTAACACCCTTTCAGTATCAGAGGCTCTTATAGGTTACAGAGGTTCAGTACAGTTTCCTTTTAACTTGCAGGAGAGAGAGCTGGAAGGTGCTCAGGAAAGTGGCAATGTCAATGTGTTAGGCAAGGAGATTGATAAACTGCAAACTGACAAGCGTGAAGTGGATAATGAACTACGTCGGCTAAGAGAAGAACAGCAAGCGAAGCACATGCAGTCCACAACTCAAGCTAAACTGGACATGCTGGCCAAAGACAAGAGCAACAAAGAGGATGCTATCCAGAAAATGTGAGAGAATGNTGTAACACCCTTTCATTGTCAGAGGCTCTTATAAGTTACAGAGGTTCAGTATAGTTACCTTTTTACTTGCAGGAGAGAGAGCTGGAAGGTGCTCAGGAAAGTGGCAATGTCAATGTGTTATGCAAGGAGATTGATAAACTGCAAACTGACAAGCGTGAAGTGGATAATGAACTACGTCGGCTAAGAGAAGAACAGCAAGCGATGCACATGCAGTCCACAACTCAGGCTAAACTGGACATGCTGGCCAAAGACAAGAGCAACAAAGAGGATGCTATCCAGAAAATGTGAGAGAATGTGACGCGCGCCAGTGTGGCCAATTGATTCATTTTGTTTCATTTAACAGCGTTTTCACACGCATGCATTTCCGATGAAAACAGTCATCAGTGTAGCGTGGACAGAGGGCGAAAACGCAGAAAATATTGCTTTTTTAAACGAAAACACAGTAGTGTGGACGGGGCAACAGATGACAACCTCCTTCAAAGACAAAAAAAGCCCAAAATGGGAAAGAAAAAGAAACTGGTCAACTACAAGCAAGATGATTTGTTGACAACCAACAGATTTGATGAACTGCGATCCATTTCCACCCTTGTAATCCTTATCGTCAGTGCCATTTTCCTCTTTTTCCTCTCTTTCTGCCATTTTCTTCTTTTTTTGTATGTACATTAAATGACGTCCTCAATTAACAACATGGGAATTAGGAAAGCTAAAAATAATCAGCCGGGGCGCTGTCCCTTAAAGACAATTAAAATTCCCAAACAATTTGTTTTGTCGCAAATCTAAAGAATCAGAACGTCCTCTCGCGAGTTCCTTGTTGTCTCATTCTAGACATCCATTGCTATATTTTGGTTTTCTTTTATTCAGTATGGACCGTCATGAAGAAGATCTGAAATCCACGCTGGGCGCACGTGGTACGTCAGAGAGCCTGCACACGAGATTACAAGAACATGTGAGTCTCAAACAAAGAGAACTGAAGGAAATGAGAAACAATCTACAGAAACAGAAACAACTACTGTCCTCCAAACAAATGCGAAAAAAGATGATCACGTAAGAATCATGACTTACTAGAAATTAGAAGTAAAAATTCCATTGAAAACTGTCGAGTTTACACACTGTAAGAAGAATGCAGATTTCAGGTAACTATTTGTACTTAATTTTTTACTGTTCTTTANTTGTTGTCTCATTCTAGACATCCATTGCTATATTTTGGTTTTCTTTTATTCAGTATGGACCGTCATGAAGAAGATCTGAAATCCACGCTGGGCGCACGTGGTACGTCAGAGAGCCTGCACTCGAGATTGCAAGAACATGTGAGGGTCAAACAAAGAGAACTGAAGGAAATGAGAAACAATCTACAGAGACAGAAACAACTACTGTCCTCCAAACAAATGCGAAAAAAGATGATCACGTAAGAATCATGACTTACTAGAAACTATAAGTAAACATTCCATTGAAAACTCTTGAGTTTACACACTGTAAGAAGAATGCAAATTTCAGGTAACTATTTTTACTTCATTTTTTACTGTTCTTTAACAGAGAGAACTTAAAAGAAAAGGAGAATGAGGCACGGCAGCACAAAAGGCAGATATCTGAGGCGTGTGGGGAGAATGACTATAACACCACAAGGGAAATCATTAGCAACAACATCGCCTCTCTACAAGAGTAAGTTACAGCTCCGGAACAAGGGTCGTGTCTGGTTGATTTTCTGAAGATCGTTATCAACCAGACAGGAGCTGCGTGAGTACTCGCGAGCAATCCGAAAATTGCCACGTCAGCTTAACGGCATAGAGTATCCCCATGTTACTCAGAAACGACAGAAACCGGCCTTGAAAGCAAGAAGTCTCCGGCTAGATCTTATCTTGTGAATTGCTTTGTACTTTCTGTTTATTGCAGTTTTTAGTAGTTATATGTTACCTGATTGTTTCAAGAAAGTCTCACAACATGACATAACCTAATAGAGTGAGAATGTCCGTTTTGACTGAGCAGTTGACAAAAGAAAAAAACTCGTTTTGCAATTCCGATATAAGTTTATTTATGTATATACAGTACATGTATTACACTTGTTGTATCCATGAAAACTAGTCTTTTGATCAGTTTCTTGCGGTTTTACGATTTTACGTTTGTAGACATGCAGGCAATATCACCAGTAGTCAACCTGTTAACAAGTTTTGTTGTTCTTGTATTACCTCGCGCAGTGAACGAGGTATTATTGGCTCATTGGAGAAAATCTATTCCAAGTATGTTTCTAAACTGGAGAGTGAAGATGTGCACACGAGTGGCTGTCCTCTGTGTTATCGAACGTTTGAGAACAACAGGCAGATTGGTGCTCTTGTCGCTGAGGTAACGTATCATGATGAAATCTGTCTATAGTAACATGGTTGCATCTCTCTACAGTGGCCACTCTGGAGCGGGATAAACGTGGGCATTGTAGAAAAGTGACCATTATTTTGGCCGCTATAGGGTCGGCTGTCTTTTTTGAACTTCTAATCAACATTTGGAGGAGCTATCTTTCTCTGCGGTAAAAAGAAAATTCAGTTAGGTCCCAAAACTGAGAAACAGCTAATTTCTTTTAACAAGGGCAACACAATGTCCGGTTGACGGGTAACGAAACTTGTAAAATCATCAAAAGTTAGAGGCTCTTTTGAGCTCATGATCTGCTGAGAAAGAATGTATGGTAACATAAAAGTACTTTACTATCAGCGAGCTTGTTTGCGATTAAGCCAATCCAGGATTACGATGAATTTTGATTTCGTTTTTGAAGTCTTCAACGCTGTTTTCTGTTTACAATTCCCCCNAATTTTGATTTCGTTTTTGAACTCTTCAACGATGTTTTCTGTTTACAATTTCCTCCCTCTCCCCAGTTTTGACGTGGACTAATCTCAAACCCCGCGAAACATTAGCAATGGAGAACAATTGTACATATACAGCTGTAAATTAATTTTTGATCTACCTGTCATGGGTTGTAAAGCAATAGTATCCCCAGTATCCCATAATCAGAAGTTGTAATTTTAATATTTTCCCTTCTACAGCAAGAAAAAAAAATTCATTAATTTTGTTTTTTCCTTCAACAGCTGAGGACTAAGATTCGAACTCTGCCCGATAAAAGAGTATCAAACGAGAGAAATCTTTCCAATGAACAAAAACGCTATGACCGCATTCTTGAACTGGCCCCAGCCAAAGAAACTGTGAGTAATTTTAGCGTTTTGTTTGGTGGGAGTCTTGGAAGTGGTCTTTGGAAACAGAATTTTAAAACCTACCCTGCTGTACTATTGTATAGTCTGGCATACCCAGTAGTGAAGAGCAAAAGAGTAAAAAGGCAACTGGTCCACCTCCCGCTCGTTGGCATTCTTGGGACGTTTTGATTGTTTACAGAATCTCCAAGTAGCACAGCAGTGCTAATTACACTGACTCTCAAACAGAGTGATTTATTTATTTATTTATTTATTTATTTATTTATTTATTTATTTATTTATTTATTTTTGTCTCGATCTGTTTTGCTAGTTGGAATCTCTCGAGAACAATGAAATTCCTGACGTTAAAATCACACTGGAAGAGACAGAAAGAGAAGTGCAAAGAATTGAAGAGGAAATTACTGAGGCACGTCATGTAACAACACTGAGTTATGTCGTGAAGCTACACTAAACAGAGGGAATGTTGATGGGAAACCCTACGTGTCATCTATTGCCAGAAAATGCAAGCTCTGGGTACAGTATGGATTACTTCATTGCAGTATCAAGATGAAAGAAATAAGGAGTTACACAATAGATTGAATCACTGAGACCTCATTAGGTTATTTTCATAGACGCCATCAGTGAGCCGATTAACCAGATAAATGACCACGTATAAGACAAAAGGAATATTTCTTGTCTACTAAAGAAGTGGTTTGAAAGTCTTATTTATAATCGCTCAGTTTGTATTGATTTGCATGTAAGTATAACAATTCAAGAAAACTGCGTTTCCCATGTGCCAAGAATTCATCAGCTACGATTGGTATCAAAAGATAACTTGAGAGAGTGACTTTCAAAAGCTGATGCATGTAGCCTATTACTCTGGCTATAGAACATATGCTAGCATTTATGAATCTACCGGTTTGTTTAACAGAGAATTTATTTGCAACAGCAAGACGGCGAAGGTTGGCAATAGCCTTGAATAAAATCACCAGGAATTGGCTTAACTTTGTAAGTCTGTTTCTCTTCAGCTTGAAGACCTTCAAAGCATAACTGAAAGTGAAGAACAGAGTGCTCGACAAATGGAACCAGACATTCGTATGTTGGACAAATACAAGACAGAGCTGAAGGAAATGGACAGGAATATATCTTTGCTGCAGTCGTTGGTTAGTCGTGTTTATCTAGTGCACTATGCGAGGGTTTTGTTAACATTTTTAGCAGTCCTGAAGGCAATTGTTTTTCACAGTATCAGAAAACCTTTCCTCTAGATGGTCAAACCAGGCAGGCAAAATCACAGCAGTTCCCGGGCCCTTATTGAAACTCGACTGTGATCGCCGTACCAACTACTGTAGTGTAATGGTGTTCTTTGCATCTATCGATTTTCACTTCATTCATTACCAAGGTGACAAGTCCCGTTAATTGATAACCGGATCAGTTCAGGAAATGCGTTTCAAAGCTGTCAACTGGGATTCCATCGTTTTCAATGACTTTCTCTTTCACATAAGAACGCCTTCTATTTAGCAGTGTAGTTTTTAACCATATGTTAACTACATTTCTCTGTAGCTCCTGGCCGCACCATGCAGTCGGTGTCTAACGAAATCGCGGACAGACAAGATCGATCGTAAGTATCGATACGAATAACTTGCAACGAGTTCCCTATCCCTGAACGATAGGCACTGGGAACAAGGTTGGCGCTTGAGTCTTCTCCCCTTGTTACCAATATCTGATGTGAGTTTTTCTTGATCACTTGGTTTTACGTTTTATGTTTTATGTTGTAACCACAAAGTGTCATCACATGGTTTTAGTGAGAGGCCTAGTATTGTTTCTAGCCGATAATTAGAGTTACCGCGCTAACTTCATTGGAATTCAAACCAAATTAGTTTTCGTTGTGAAGTCAACTCTCTTGCACCTGAGTTTCTTCATCTTTTTACTTTGATTTTTAACTGTCAGGGACACTCTTAACAACAACGTTGACAGAAAAAGATCACAGCTGAGCCAACTACAACGGCAGCTTAGTGAGCTCGAAAGTAACGTACATGATCTCAAGTCACACAAGGTAAATGATTCGCAAAGAATCCTTCGTAGGAAAAAAAGATGGCGGCTGTATATTTTACCGCAGTACCATGCGAACCTAACACAGCCCATAAGGCACAAGGAAATCCATATTTTTGCAGTGTTTGTCCCTCTACTAACGACATTGTGTATACAAGATTTGAAGACTATAATGTAGAACATTTCTGTACGTTTTTTATGAGCCTTGTTAAGGCTAAGAATTATGGGTAAATGTACCAGTCGCCATTGTTATTTTTTTTCCGCAGAGGATTCTGGTTGTCAATTTGATATTTAGTAATCCAATCTGATTTACTTTCTGTTTAATTTTGAATTCTTCCAGCTACGCCTAAAAGCTCAATTACAGACGAGAACGCACTTGGAGCAACAGAAAGCCGAACTCACCGCAAACAACAGTGCCTTTACAAGAGAGATTAAGGTTAGTTGCAGATCTCAAAAATAGGTCCGCGTTGCGTGCATGTAGGTACTGGAACTTTAACACATGAAGACATGAATAACAATCAAAAGGATAGCAAGTTATTGTGGACAGTGGTGGCCAGTGATACGAGAACATAAACTCCTTCCTTTCTCCTAGCCCCAGTAAAGTGGTTGCATTGTTGAAAGAAGAAGTTAGTTATCAATAGTGTTTAAACTGTGGCTGTAATTTTTATCTTTTCAAAATTTACCCGTACTGAGACAACTTTAATAAGCTATTGATTTCTTCATATACTTTTGATTCTGTTACAGGAAGCCGAGACTGAACTAACTCCTATTGCTGTGAGTAGAGATTTTCATTTTCTCCTTGCAGCTTTTAGTCTAGACATTCTGTTCTCATTTGTTACTTTCTGCTAGAAATTTTAATGGCAAAAATAGAAGGGTCTGACTGAATTACTGGTAACTAAGGCCTCCGGCGTAGTAAGTTCCAAATGGAATAAACGCAAATCCCAAATGAAAGGTTAACACGTTTTCTCCTTTGCTTACCGTTTCACTTGTCTGACGACGGAGGGCACCAGTTTCCCTAGAAAATATTTTTGAATGTGATTATGTTCTTTTCGGTGCGTGGAACTTTTCACCTGGTTGATGCGTGTTTTAGTGTTTTTTAGTGTCCCAAAGTTTTAGTCCCAAAGTTTACTACGTGGTGCTAAAGGAGGTTAAACGGCCATATTACAACCTTGCAAAGTAAATAGGTGTAGCAACGAGAAATGGTACGGCCATCATGGCTTACGATAGAGTTGAGAAAAGAGGTAGACCTGGACACGGACTTTGTTTTGTACCACAAAGACATTTGATCCTGTGTGAAAGCTGCTACACACTTGCATATCCTGGAACATGTGAACAGTTTAACTAGTTTCATGACCTTGCTTTCTTTCAGGCTAAACTTGAAGAACTTCAGGCTGAGAAGCAGGGCGTTGTCAGTCAGAAGGAAGGTGGGAAGATGGGAATCGCAAGTTGGTTAGTGCAGATTTTTTTGTTTGTTTAATAGGTAACACTTATTCACCGAAGTGGAAGTAAATATCCACCACTTTTACCGAGACTGATTTGAATCTGCCACACAAGCTGAATGATTATCGGACCTACAAATGACTTTATTTCTGATAATAAACCGACGAATGGTCGGAAATTTCGAAATCTCTGCTCAGAGGTTAATAGTGCTCTGCTCATCACCTCCAAGTTAACCAATTTAAAACGCGTGGAAAGCACTATTCTCACACACCGCCGGGAGCCATGCCAAGCCGAACCACCCAGCCTGACCTTTATTAACATAAGAACATAATAGTCTCACAATGACACAAAAAAGTGTCTAGAGAATAATTTCACCTCAACTTAACAAATTCTACAAGTACTTCACGCGTGGGTAGGTGGGGCATGTCAGGCAATGGCGGATGGCAAAACNCCCCCCCGCACACCTGTACCCAGACTCCCAGCCGTGTGTGAGAAAAACGTTTTCCGCTTTCGTTCCTCGGCCAATGGAAAACCACACTTCTATGGCCTTTACGGTATCACCTCCAGATGAAAGGTTTTCACATGACGTCTTAGCGGACAAGTGAGCTGTTCTCAAACAATGGAATTTTCCAATGTAAAAAATGTGCTATTATCATGGAACACAATATGGCCGGCGTGAACTTAAATTGATANTTACTCAGAAACGACAGAAATCGGCCTTGAAAGCGAGAAGCCTCCGGCTAGATCTTATCTTGTGAATTGCTTTGTACTTTTTTTTATCGCTTTTTTTAGTAGTTATATGCTACTTGATTGTTTCAAGAACGTCTCACAACATGACATAACCTAATAGAGTGAGAATATCCGTTTTGGCTGAGCTAAGCAGTTGACAAAAGAAAAAAAAAAACGTTTGGCAATTCCGATATAAGTTTATTTATGTATATTAAAAATAATATATATATACATGTATTACACTTGTTGTATCCATGAAAACTAGTCTTTTGATCAGTTTCCTGCGGTTTTATGACTTTACGTTTGTAGACATGCAGGCAATATCACCAGTAGTCAACATGTTAACATGTTTTGTTGTTCTTGTATCGCATCGCGCAGTGAACGAGGTATTATCGGCTCATTGGAGAAAATCTATTCCAAGTATGTTTCTAAACTGGAGAGTGAAGATGTGCACACGAGTGGCTGTCCTCTGTGTCACAGGACATTTGAGAACAACAGGCAGATTGCTGCTCTTGTCACTGAGGTAACGTATCATGATAAAATCTGTCTACACGGTTGAATCTCTCTACTGTGGTCACTCTGGAACGGAATAAACGTGGACATTGCAGTAGAAAAGTGACCATTATTGTGGCCGCTATAGGGTTGACTGGCTTTTTTGAAATGCTAATTAAATTTTAGTGAAGTATTCTTTCTCTGTGATAAAAAAAGAAAATTCAGTTAGGTCTCAAAACTGAAAAACAGCTCATTTCTTCTTACAAAGCCAACACAATGTCCAGTTGACGGGTAACGAGACTTGTAAAGTCATCAACTTGAGGATAGTTTCGATGTTCAACCAAATTCTTTCATCTAACATTGAACGAACTCTATGGTAACCAATAAGGAGAACTGAAACTACTCTTGGTACGAAAAGAGTTAGAGGCTCTTTTGAGCTCACGATCTGATGACTGCATGCATAAACAACTTGTTGTCGGTGACTGCTGAGGATGAATGTATGGTAACATAAAAATATTTTACTGCCAGCTAGCCTGTTTACGACTACGCCAATCCAGGATTAAGTTAAATTTTGATTTGGTTTTTGAACTCTTCAGCGATGTTTTCAGTTTACAATTTTTTCCCTTCCCCCCCCCC